AGTGATAACGTGGTATAAATTACCAAGAAGTCTACTCTGCTGAAATTAGAATAAAAGAGGGAGAGATCACTGAGAGCATGGAGTGAGAGCAGGATTTCTGTCCAGTCACTTTAAAGAAAGAATGTTAACAAAGAGGATATTGGGAGGAATCCTTCGATACAAGGATGGGGAGAATATACAGGGTCCATATTTTCAGAAACACAGCTGTGTCAAATTCAAGTCTTGTTGAAAGAGTGTAGTATAAAGGGGCTAATGATGGGAGAGTTTGCAAGGAATACCTTAAATTTGATGTTCTTCCCTTTCCCCTAAGAATAGTTCACTGCCAGCTGCCACAACACAAATTCAGTTTTTGCACCAGGTAGGGTTTTAGAATAGAAGATTAATCTGCTATTAAAATAAATTTTTCTAAACAGAGTCTCAAAATGTGTTTAGTCGAAAACCTCTTGAGAAAATGTGTGTGTGTGTGTGTGTGTGTGTGTGTGTGTGTGTGTGTGTGTGTGTGTGAAGAGACAGCTCCCCAGAAGTCATGCTATTTTTGAGAGTGGGCTAATAGTTAAATCATCAACTACTTTTTAAGGCACTGTGCTATTTTTTTTAAAAAAAAAAAAAAGAAGAAGAAGAAGAAGAAGTTTTTACTGTGTAGCCCAAGATAGTTTTGCACTCGGGACCCTGCAAGCTCAGTGCTTCGATTGCAAGTGAGAATCATCATGCTCCAGATTGCTCTCTGTATTTTAAAAAGACACAGAGCCTTCCAATATGGTTGTGCTCAAACTTAATCATTCATAAAATCCACACAACCAACATTTGCTCCTGAAAGTTCTCAGACAATGAGGAGAATGTTGACTATGGATTATGGTGAATATATAGAAAAACAAGTTTAAAAATCTTGAGAAATATTAAATTGACTCTTCTCTGATTCTGGGTCTTTTTATGTTTATTTTCATTTACTTTTGCCAAACACCACAGCAGAAAGAGAATTCAAGACAGACCAGAAGTATGGCTTGGGACTCAAAAAACAGGATGAGGGATTTTATTATTCAGCTCTAGCTGCTCTGGGGCCTCTTCTAATTCTATAAAGTCTGGCTTTGCTAAGATTTTATCAACAGACTAACTGGAATCAATGAGTAAGAATCACAGATCTGCAACATAAGCAAGATTTTATTGTATTTTGTCTCAACTGGTTACCATTTTAGGGAAATAGTTTATTTTGTTGAGTGAGCCTTAAGAAAAGTCGCAAAATATAATTGTAGACCCAGTAGCTTAAATTGGTCTTTGCTGATGCTTGGAATACCGCATTGAGAGCACTTATAATCTAATTTTAAAATGACCCGAGGAGAAACTAGACATTGCTTTTATTCATTGCACAATCTTTACAGAACACCTGCTGAGTGTCAGGTTATGAAGCAGTGTCAAGAGTCTCACAGTTTGTTTTAAAATTAAGAAGAATTCAATTCACTCTTTCAGCATAACTCCTACTCTTCAAGACTTAGAGTCTTCTACCTTATGCAATTATCAACTAAGTGTTGAGAAAGGCCAGTTTGACTGATGTAGTGGAGGAGGCGTGGAAGCTTGTATACGTGAAAAAAATCGGTATGAGAGAAGGTATTGTAATTAAAATAGAAGAACTTTACAAACTGATTTGTTTTTTAACATGAAGTTGAGGATCTTTGAAAACCATGGAGCATTTTGTTCCATTTTCTTTGTTGGAAGGCTATATAAAATCAAGCTGATTGGAAAGCGTGAATCTGAATCTTGGCAGCTCAGCTAGCAATGGGATCCTGACTCATGCCTGAAGTTAAATCCTCAGGAATATATCTGTACTAGGAAGGTGGAGTCAAGGGGCCCATCCGGTCTGATTTTAGCTTCTCAGGATTTCTCTAGGGTCCTTTAGGAGCCAGGATAGGGTGGAAAGGGGGAGGGTAACAAGAATTCCATGTAGCATACTTGACAAGTGATGCATTTAATGAATCACTATTGAGACACAGAGGACTCTATCATATAACATTTGTTACTGGTAGCAATGAATGTTCTGGTTGGAATAGTCTCTTTCACTCACTGGACTTTCTGTTATTTTGGAATGGGGATTGGAGTCCACAAGTAGCTTTTACTAGTAAAAAGGCAAGCTAATGACTGGGTGTAAGCCTTTCTAGATTCTGCAACTAGTAAGAAAGTGGGTTATGTATACAAAGACTCTCCACTAAGTTACCAACTTGGAAGGCCCCTGCTGACTTTATAGATATCAGAACTGGGCGCAGATTCTCCACTACATAACCTTAGAAGTGCTAAATCCTGCCTTAATACTCTGCCATTGCTACATGAAAATTCTCAGATACTTTTAAACAAAGCTTATGCCTTTTTATTTTGCAAAGTCCACACTTTATCTTCAGCCTTTGCCTCCACTTCCTAAGTTTCCAGGCCACTGTATTTGTTTCTTTAAGAAAGTGCACCTAGAGAAACTGGAGAACATTCAAGTAAACTTAGTCATTGGGGGTATCTGATCCATGTTTTTAGTCTGAGTGAGTGACCTTAAAATTCATCAATAAAACCAGTTAACCTGGATTTTAGTTCATTTAGCTTTGAAAGGTGTGGAGTAGGGAGACTCATTCTAAGTTTTGAGAAAAACACATGTAAAGGTATTTTAGGAGCCCTAAAGTAATATATACTTACTGTGTGTTCACACCATCATGTGTGCAGCTATTAACTGTCAACACCACCTCTGATATTGTTTATCTCCTCACCTGTTCACAAGCCCTCAAAGCTCTATTATAACTAGGACATTCTCCCGCTATCTGTTACCTCCTTACAACATTAAGAATGATGATATGAAAATTCACATTCCTAGCTCTGTAAACGATGTGAAAGCCTGCAGTTCACTTTGCAGTGTGCCCTTTTCTCCAGTGTGCATTTGTGTACACCTATGTTGGTGACCTGCTCTGGTCCGTTCGTTCTTACCGGTCTGTAGAGGAGTGTGACACTCACTCGTCTGCCCTGCAGCATGGCTTAGTGAGGCTGCTACAAACAGAGCCAGGGGAGCTTTCTGTGAACTGTCGTCGTTCTGCCACCACCGGAGATAAAAGACGCTCGCTGGCACTACTGGGGAAGCCAGTATTAGGCACTGGTTCTGAAAGCCGGTGTTTACATTCATAAAAGAAGATTAATAATTTCTGCCATTCAAGATAGCTTTTGTGATAATTAATTGAGACAGTCAAACCCAACATAGCCTCGACGTGCAAAGCCTAATGACATCTGCTGGAGCTGCACGTTGGGATGACATCTGTGGGGGTCCAGTCTTGACGGGCTTATCTGTTTCAGGGTAGGGGAATGTGGATTAGAAATGTTAAGGAAGAGGTAGAAAAGAAATACAGAGACAAAGGACAGTACCGGGAGGGCAACCCAGTGAATACTGAATATGCCCATGTTTATTTTCCATATGCTTATACCCCAATCCAAAAAGGGGGAAGAAGGCAAAAGACTGCTTTAACATGACTCAAAGGACAAACAGAACAATCACTTGCTTCAATACCTGAGACATCAAGCTGCTATTTCCTGAGTTGAGCATTCTGATGTTTTAGGCAGGATGTGCAGTGACAACACCTTAGATCCAGTATCCTGTAGGCAACCACTCCCTGGGTCAAACCTCCTGCTTTGAAAATGAAGGAGGAGGAATAGGCTTGAATTATCTGACCTTTGGTCAGGATGGAGTGAATCCACCCCTATGGGCCATCTTAATATACAAAACACCAAATAACCACACCCTAGGTCAGGATCTCTTGTTTGTAGCCACTCCTTAAGTCAGACTTCCTGTCAATAACTTGGAAAAAGCAAGAGAAGGCTTAGCTCTCTGACCTCAGTCAAGGTAGAATGGACCCACTTCTGTGGACCTCCACAGGGGACTGGCTTACTGTGACGTCTAAACTGGAGGATTATGTAGCCTGAAGCAAGTAATGATGATCTTAATTTATGTTCTATATTCTATCTAGAGATACGGTAGTATCTCCAGCTTAACTATTAATTTTGCTATTTTTTAGAAAAATCACAATAATTGTGTTTTACTCCTAAAAAGTAGTCCTGTATATAACATAAATAAATCCTCAGATCTATCTTCTACCAAATTGAAAAGTATTACTTTTGTTGCACCCTTCATAGAGTGAAAAGGCTTGAATTCTTCAAATTATTAAATAGGTGCACTATTTATAATACCTGGGTTCTGTTCTCTATACAACTGGAAAGGAATCACTATCTAGCCTTTCTCTCTCTCTCTCTCTCTCTCTCTCTCTCTCTCTCTCTCTCTCTCTCTCTCTCTCTCTCTCTCTCTCTCTCTCTCCCTCTCTCTCCCTCTCTCTCTCCTCCACAGAGTTTCTCTGTAGTTTTGGAGCCTGTCCTGGAACTAGCTCTTGTAGACCAGGCTGGGTTTGAACTCACAGAGATCCGCCTGCCTCTGCCTCCTGAGTGCTGGGATTAAAGGCGTGTGCTACCACCGCCTGGCTCTAGCATTTTCTCTTTCACTTCTCTAAGTGGCTAATAATTGCACTGAGAATTCTGAAGTTCTGTTGCCACCTAACTGTGCTGCTACATGGTAAGACGACTTGTGATTTAAATTTTAGAACAAAGGCACACATGTTCTCTTAAGCTTTAAAAAAATCTGGACAGCCCAACATTTAACGGAGTCTTCTGATTGAAGTCTCTTGTGTGTTAAGAAACTTGAGTGAGCTGGAGAGATGACTCAGCAAAAAAACTCTTAACTGGCATTCATGAGGACCTGAGTACAGATCTGAGCACCTATGTAGCTAGCCATGCATCCTGCAAACGTGTGTAACCTTAGTCCTGAAATATCCAGTGGTGTTTTCTGGGTTCGTCTGACATACATGTGCCTGTATACACATGTGCAAATACACTAATAGAGCTGCATGTACATGGAAGTAAAATGAATCTTAGAAACTTAGAATTACGTTTTGCATATCCCTGTGTTTCTCAAACATCATATTTTTATTATTCAACAGATTTTATACAATTCGATATAGAGAAAAAGATAAAGAAAAGAAATGGATTTTTCAACTCTGACCAGCTACTGAAACAATTGTGGAAAATCTCAAGCCCAACACAGTATATGAATTTGGTGTAAAAGACAATGTAGAAGGTGGAATTTGGAGCAAGATTTTCAACCATAAGACCATTGTTGGAAGTGAGTATCCCCTTGATCCAATATAGAGTTCATTCTTTTCTAATTGGCTACTTTAAGTCACTTCACTAGCTGTATAATATGAGATAAATTCATTTCCAATAGTTAACATGTTCTAGTGTTTAAGAAAATACAAAATGAATAGAATTTAAATATTGATATTTCAGGGGCTGGAGAGATGGCTCAGCAGTTAAGAGCACTGACTGTGCTTCCAGAGGTCCTGAGTTCAATTCCCAGCAACCACATGGTGGCTCACAACCATCTGTAATGAGATCTGGTGCCCTCTTCTGGCCTTCAGCCATACATGCAGACAGAATACTATATACATAATAAATAAATCTTTAAACTAAATAAATAAATATTGATATTTCAGAATTTATTATAATGTGATTTTTCTGAAAATAGATAATGAACAACTTGGTGGCTCCAGTCATTATAGTATTTTAAAATATATCTTTGATGTATGAACAGAAGATGAGCTAAACAAATGCAATGCCAGTATTTGTAATATCACACGGGGTGCTAGGCAGTGGAGGTGGACACAGCCTGCTACGGGAGCCCTGAACATCTCTTCCTTACCTATGTACTCACACATCAATATTTCAAATGATAGTAAATGAAGCGCCATGCCAAAATAGAGAGTGTAGCTTTGAATTATCCCCATGGTGAGCTAGAATTAAGGAATAAGAAGAATAAAAGTAATGCTGTTTCCTTCTTATTTTCAGGTAAAAACAAAGTAAATGGGAAAATCCAAAGCACTTATGACCAGGTCCACACAGTGGTAGGTGCTGATTTTTTTTTTAAGATTTATCTTTAAAAACTATCATAGCTGCGTTATGTTTCTACTTAGATGTAGGAGATCACCCTACCTTGAGGTACTGAGGTTATCTACTGGACACTGGGTGAAATGCTCAATGATTTAGGAATTAGCTATTTTTTGTTTTAAAAATGATAGAAATAAGCTCCCAAACCCTTCCTAGTTTGTTTGAAGCTCTCCAATTCAAAGAGTCAATGCAGTAATTCTGGTATTTGAATATTTTAGAGTATTTTATGATTTTGTTCATTCTGCCTGTGTGCATTTGTGTGTGTGTGTGTGTGTGTGTGAGAGAGAGAGAGAGAGAGAGAGAGAGAGAGAGAGAGAGAGAGAGAGAGAGAAACAACGTATGTGTGCAGGTGCCTGTGGAGGACAGAAGAGGGCATCAGATTCCCTGGAACTGGAGGTAAAGTCAGCTCTATGAGTCACCTAGTGTGCGGGTACTGGGAATCAAATCCAGGTCCTCTAGAAGAGCAACAGTCGTTATTATTGTAGATAATTGTAGATTGTTTTTTATGTAACACTTTAAGAGCTTATGGATAGCTACATGTTCTAGGTCCACTGATAAAGTTCAAATTGTTCTGTGTTTGCAATGATAAACAGCCAGCTTGGTTTTGAAATGTGCCCAGCCTTTGCTCAGTTCAGTAAATGCTTGTGTGTGTTTTGAGCCTTACAGTTTCCAATCCTTACTGATGCTCTGAAGGGTTACATGCTTTCACCGTTTGCTCTCAGTTCAGCCACTGTGTCCTCAGGAATCCTTCAATCCGTCATGGATAATGTAAGACATTGTTAAAGCCATCAGTGGAAGAGCTGTTAGCATTTCATGTCACACGCTCAAGTGTAAGGTGAAGCATGCTACATTAGTGAGCAGATAGAAGGGGCACCAGGGTGAGAGAATTAGGAACTGGATACTGACTTGATTGACTGTCACGTGGATGGACCTTGCTATCCCATCTCCATTGCTCCCAGCTCTCTTACCTTGGCAGTGGTCCCATTTTACTTTCTTTATAGTTAGAGTTACTCCAGAATATGTACTCATATCTGAAGATTTGGAACTAAGAGCCCCCAATGAGAGAAAACATGCCACACTTGTTTCTCTGGGTCTGGGTACCTAACTAGTTTTTTTCTAGTTCCATTCACTTACCTGCAAAGTTAATGATTTCATTTTTTCCCACTGAATAGTATTCCAAAGTATATATATTACCACATTTTCATTTCCTATTTGTCAGTGGAAGGAAGGACATTTAGGTTGTTTCTATTTCCTAGCTATGGTGAATAGAGCATCAGTGAACATGGCTGAGCACATCTCTGTGGAGTCAGATGCTGAGTCTTTTGGACATCTGTCAAGGAGCAGCATAGCTAGGTCATATGGCAGATTTATTTTTAGCATTTTAAGAATTATTTCCATAGTTGCTGGACCTGTTTGCAGTTCCACCAAGAGTAGATGAAGTTTCCATTTTTCCAGTATCTGTTTTAGCATTCATTGGTTTTTCCTTTGATCCTTTTGTTCTGACTGACATAAGATGAAATCTCAAAGTTGTTTTGATTTGCATTTCTCTAACAGTGAGGAACAATGAACATTAAAAAAATATCTCAGTAGGATGTGTTTTAAAAAATTATGTACAGAAGGGTTTTTTGAAATAGTGGATACTCCAGATTTTGGGCTAGGATAGTACTATCTTCTTACTTAACTGTTCCTTAACTAGAGTAAAGTGACCTTTATCTTTTCTGATTAGGTTAAGTTTGATTTAGTCTACTTTGTCAGCTGTCAGCTGTTAAGACAGTGATGCCTGCTTTCTTCCTGGCCTCGTTTCACCTTTTCACTCTAAATTTGTGCCTATCTTTAAAGCCAAATGTGTTTCTTGTAGATAAAGGGTAGGTGAATTTTGGTTTTTGATCCATTTAGCCAGCCTGTGTAGAAGGAGCGGAGGGCCACTTCCCGCCACCCAGCTCCCAGCCACCAGCTAGCTTTACCCCAAATAATTACACGGAAACTGTATTCATTTAAACACTGCTTGGCCCATTAGCTCTAGCCTCTTACTGGCTAACTCTCACATCTTGATTAACCCATTATTTGGTAATCTGTGTAGCACCATGAGGTGGTGGCTTACCAGGAAGGATCTTAATCTGCATCCGTCTCAGAGAGGAGAACTATGGAGTCTGACTCACTTCCCTTCTTCCCAGCATTCTGTTCTGTCTACTTCACCCACCTATGTTTTGACCTATCAGGCCAAGCAGTTTCTTTATTAATTAACCAATGAAAGCACACATAGAAAGAAGACCCACCTACATCAAGCCTGTGTCATCTAATTGTAGAACTGGGGCCATTATATGTATTTATTGCTGATGTTGATTTTGGTGGTTTGTGTTCTCAGTATCACTTTACATTTCAGTAACTAGACCTTCATTTTCCTTCCATCTTCACAGACTTAAGTTCTCTTCATTGTGTCTATGTCTTTATTGAATTCCATTTTTAAATTCTGTATTTTCTTCATCATTCCCATCCGCCATAGGTTTGTGTTTCTTGGGCATCACTGAGGTGTTTATCTCTTTAAGTACATTGATCTGCTCCTTTGTGTCTTCTTTACACTCACTGAATTCCCTTTACACTCATTAAATTGCTCAGTTTCCAGGTTATAGGCATTTTAATTATCTCTGATTGATTTCTACTTAGATATAATTAAATTCCTACTAACAGTTTAAGTTTTAAGGCTCTTTAGTATTAATGGGCAAATTTCTTTCTAAGGAGATTATCCCAACTTATGATCTTTCAAGTAGGTAACAAGAGTTTATCCTGCTTATTGATAGTGTGTATTTCTATTGCTAACATCTTGCTTAACATAATAGTTTCAAAGTTACAATGATTTCCATTTCTATGAATACTGATAAACTGGTACTATCTTTGCTTTTGTTTTCTATTTAGTGGCCATTAGTTGTGGCTCTTTGTTAATTGGGAAGTGTGTGATTTTTTTCCTGACTAGTTTAAAGACTTCATAGACTAAAAAGTCTTTAGTCTATGACATAGACAAAGAGTCCTTTGTAATGTCATCTAGATTTTTTTCCCTCACATTTGCCATCAACTTTGTTGGTGGCAATTGTTGAAAGTCTCATCTTAAAATGTACTGTATCCAGAAATTAGACTTCATCATACCGTCAGTTGTGTTCTAGTTTTCAAGGCCTTTCCCTCTTCATACAAAGGATGAATATACATCTCCCTTTATAATTTTTAGTTTTGCAACAGTTAAGCTCTAGACTCCATGGGTTTTCCTTCTCTGTGGCGTCCAATAAGGCTCGGCACTTTTCTAAGCTGTCGGTTGGCCTAGCAGCATGGATTGAATAATGATACTCTCTAAAAGTCTCTTTGATTTTGTGTCTCTTGAGATCAGTCAATAGTATGTATGAAAAACAAAACTGCTACGTTGCAGAAGAGAAACAGCAGGATACAGCTGCTGTTTCATCCTTCTCTTTCAGCTCTGGATGTCAATCATTTTTATTTATTTTTGTCAGAAGACCTCATGGTAGGATGCATTCTCAGTGAGATTGGGAAAGATGAATGATTCTTCGCCACAGCAGAATTTAATTTCTTATTCCTTGTCATAACCAGCTGTGATAGGGCTGGAGAGGAGCTTCCTACATCTGTGACGCAGAGCCAAAGTTGTATTACTTCCATGTGTGAGGTGGAGTCCCCCCGAATCTAGCCAGTCACGATGAGCTGTACTTGAAAACTCTCGGTTATTTCCAAAGGAAAACCCAAGTTCATTGAAAAGAAGCTTCAGAGATCTTCTGTGAAACTCTGTGAGCATCTTCTGGATAGCAGAGAAGTGTCTCATGGAGTGACTTCTGCTCTCAGGCAGCCTTGAGTCGTGGGAAAGCTGCACAGGAGCCACACAGGACAGCCGTTGTTCGTGCGATGTGGTCCTGTAGAATCCATCAGAAAGTTGATATGATATTTCAGATGTGCATTTCAGTCAGAGCCAAGCCTGTGCCCCAGTATCCACCCATGTCTTCTCTGAGACCGATCATAAAAGGGAGTGTTTCAAGAGGCATGCGATGTCTTACTTTTCAATTTTAAGTAAAAGACCCGTTGAAGACGGTTTTCATTCAATACTCTCATGTCTAAATCTTTGAAACCACAAAATATTTTAGCACCCTCCTGAAAGAAGTATTTGATACAGGAAAAGTATTTTAACATTAGGTATCCTTTTCAAAAAATAAATAATAATTAGGCTAAATATTTGTGCATTAAACCGCTCCATCTTATCTCCCTGATCATATTGTATACTTAAATTTATATATGCAGGCATGTATTCTGTTGGCAGGGACCACACAAATTGTTCCGGGGATATGAGGGAGGTTCTTTTCTGATTAGTTAGTATCTTTGTTTTACCAGTTGCTAAGTACCTTCAATGATGTCACTCCTTTCTTTACCTCTAAAATAATGAAGAATAAGCATAAACAAAACTCTGATTTTTCATATATAACATAAATGCATCATTTGAAATGCATATAATAAAGAAAATATTTATCATGATGTTCATGATGGTTTCCTTCTTTCAGAGTCTACTATATTCCTTTATAAAAAATATTTATTCTCTTCTGTATTACTTTCTGACCACAGTTCCCCCAGACACTCCTTCTTTCCCTTCAGGGTCAGGATTTCCAAGGGATATGAGGCAAACATGCACATTAAGTTATGATAAGACTAGGCACATCCCCTCATATTAAGGCTGGATGAGGCAACCCAGTAGGAAGAAAAGGGTCTTAATAGCAGACAAAAGAGTCAGAGACAGTCCCTGCTGTCACTGCTAGTGGTCCCACAGAGATACAAAGTAACACAGCCATACATATATGCAGATGGCCTAGGTCAGACACATGTAGGCTTTCTGATTGTCATCTCAACTTCAGTCTCTCTGAGCCCCTCTGAGCTGAGGTTAGTTGATTCTGTAGGCTGTGTTCTCATGGTGTCC